GTTTGTACTTATGGCAAAACTCCCATGTGCTCATAGCCTCGAGTGGTTCACTGAAACAGCTTTCGTCCTGCCTCTACAGCTCTGATTGGCTAGTGCAACAACTTGCAGCCCACACTGCCTGGGATAGGTACAGTGGTGAGAGAGACGAGTTGAGAAGGGGCGGAAAGTTTCGATCATCCTTTTGAGTTCAATGCCGACTTTGACAACAGGGTTAGAGGGTCATAGACACTGGAAACCCTATAGCTGCCCAGGGAGCTGAGGTACTTTTGTCGGATCACCTTTGTAGATCAACGCAAAACTGAAAAGCTCCGTCTGTGTATGGATGTCACCATGTTCCAGGTAAGTCATAGGTGAATACTTTGTTGGTTAAATGGTTTATGTTTTTTGCAGTTCTATTTCTCAGTCGTGTGTGTTTTTTTTCTCCTCCCTGACCAAAGACAGTGAGTCAGAGTGCGTTTCTAAGCCTGCGGGCCAGGGCTGTTTTGAAGCACAGAGGTTGTTTTACCTTGTGTACTCATATATTCCTGCATAATACTAGAGAGATAGGGTGAAGGCAATGGGAAATTGTTATAATTGTGATGTTTGGGAAAAGGTGTAGGAGTTCATTTTAGGAGTTCTATTCTTGATTAATCTTTTTTTTGTGATATTTTCTCCGTATACTTTCCATTGGATTTCTTTCACTTGCAATGTGTATTTACAGTGTCTATATTGCAGCATGATATTTATAACTTATGGAACCTTGACCAAAACAGCAACAAACTATTCATTCTCTGATAAGATAACAGATAGTGGACCACAGGTATCTTTTGTCTTGAAGGCAGCTGATGTGAGAGTTTATTATTTAACACGACCATAAACTGTCTGGGCCCCACTGCCTTTCCCATACAACTTGTAACTCATTCACTTGTAATGCTTAACATCAAATGCCGACTGGCTTTGATCAACTGCAACAGCTGAACCGCTTTATTATTATGTTATTTAGGCAAGGCAAGTTTATTTGTATAGCACAATTTATACACAAGGCAATTCAAAGTGCTGAACAAAACAAAATAGCATTAAAATCATAAATAATCACAGTACATTAAAAAGAAAGATAAAAATATAAAAGCCCTCAGTTGTATGCACAGCTAAACAGAACTGTCTTTAACCTGGTTTTAAACATTGTCAGAGAGGAGGCCTGTCTCACATCTTCAGGAAGATTGTTCCAGATTTTAGCATTATGAATCTGAAAAGCAGCCTCCCCATGTTTAGTTCTGACTCTGGGCACTAACAGGAGTCCAGTCCCTGTGCTCCTCAGAGTCCGGGCTGGTTCATATGGGACGAACATGTCACTAATATATTTTGGTGCGAGGCCATGGAGAGACTTGTAAACAAGCAGAGCTGTTTTAAAGAAACATTTACTCTCCTGCTTGTTCTTTATTTTCTCAGTATTATGTTGATATTATTTCTGATGTTTATTCTGCTCATATTCTCATATTCTCCGCTGCTAATGTATAATATAGACATCTGTAAATACTCCGAACCAAGTGCAATTATAGCCCAGAGTTTCTTATTTAATTTTATTTTATTTTATCTTAAATTTATTGTCTATTATCTTAGATAATAGACTTTGATGTGTGCAATCTGAGTGCTCATATTTCCTTTCTCTGCTGTAATGTGCAACGATGACACTGAAATTTCTCCACTGTGAGACTAATAAAGGTTTATCTTATCTTATCTTATTGCAACTTTTTTAGATATTTGTTCTTTTCAGGATTTCAGAATTCGCATGTGATGTTGTTTCCTCCCACATACTAACTAAATCTAGTCTATTCCAACATATATTTTTGCTTTTTAAATTATGTTTTTTTCTTCTTAATTTTTTACATGTTGGCGAAATCAATACACCAGTTTGTGTTTATTGTTTAAAGTCTGCAATACCATTTATTACCACATGATGTCTCTCTTTCAATGCCCTTGATCCAGGTCCAGGCAGCTAAGTGGCTACTTCTTGCTGGGCATCAAATTAGCTAATCATATCAACAGGGGATGCACGTGTAGCTCACATTTGGGCTTTCTGATGTTTCTAGCATATTTTCACAGCAGCTTTATTGACGTGGCTGAGGAGTTGAAAGTGACTGAGTTCTTGTGGTCATGGGAAGGATGCAGTGTTTTCCCTCAAAAGCCACATGCCCAGTGTGCCAAGAGGAAATTAGTTTGTAGGAGCCGTCAATTGGACAATGATGACCTTTAGCCTGTTGTTCAGTGGGCTGGATAAATCACAATAAATAAACATTCGGCTACTTGGAATACATTTTGATATACAGTACATGTAGTTTAAAAGGAACACTGTATGTTTGCGGGTGTAAGCTTCATAACCTACTTGTGTTAGGAAAATTATAACTTTTTTTGCAAAGAATAAAAAGATAGAATGCTTAAAGCTTAAAGCGTACCCAACATTTTTAGTTTCACACATTGTGTTTGTCCCAATGGAAAGAGTCTGAATACGTTATCTTGGGATAAGAATATGTTATTTTTCACAAACTGAGCTGATTGGCAGAGTTAGGGATTATTCTCTCTTCACACAAAAAATGTGATCTAAACATGGCTAGTTACATGGGCAAAGGAAGCTTATTAGAAAGTAATTTTTTAAGGTTTAAATTTAAAGTTAGGTACACCAGCCTACGTCAAGTGATCATAATTTAGGCATAGACTTATTATTGTTTTCATTTTCCTATATTTCTTTGCATTAAAAGTACTGCTCAAATGCAAGACATGCATCACAACTTACTTAATATGCAACATGTAAGTTACAGCATCCCCTAAAGCTGCACTGTGCATATTAACTGTAAATTTATGCTTACTGCTTTTTAATCATCTGATATAGAACTAAATAATTGCTTTACTCTGCCAGTCTGTCTCTCTTCATTTTCTGCTATACGCCTCATAGTACAGTGTAATAAAATGGCCTTTAATTGTCGCTGGCCCGTGCCAGGCCCTGCTCTGCTAACATAGCTGATGGCTGCATCTGTGGATCAGGTAGATTTGTCAGTGTAATCAGCTGGCCAGTGCTGCTCCAGCTGTAAATCTTATTACTCCAGACTGTGCCACTGCTGAGCTGGCTTCTTGAGGAGGCTGCACCCGGCCACCCATCGGTCACAGAGGAGCAGAAGACAGGATTAAGGATAAATATGTTAGGTGTCCGCCCTGGGGAAAAAGACAAAGAGCAATATCAGGGTCTGTGGTGCGGCTGGATTCATGCTTTAGAGCCATCATTAAGGGTGATAAAAGGCCAGAACTGAAAGGATTAGAAAGTGCTTTAGCGCGAAATAGACTATATGCGACTGTAATTGTTTAATCTCACTTTGACCTACTATTCCACAGTCAAATTGAACTTCCTAGGCCGACTGTTAATGTCACTTCCACAGCTTTCTTTTGTACTTTGTTCAGGGATACATTACTGTGAGAGACTGCTTTTTTTGCATAAGTTAAAATATGCTTAATTACTTAAATCATTACTGCTCAGTTTTGCAACTTGATGTGGTCAAATTTGAACACTGTTTTAAGTTTAAAGGCCTTTTGGTTATAATCTCTTATCAATTCTTATTTTGAAATGATACATACAATTAAACGTCTAATTTTCATTTTTTCGTCTAATGCATTTTGTCTCTTCCAACAGAAAAAGTCCCAGTAAAGTAACATCAAACCACAACATTCTGTCGTCATCTTATTTGAAACCTGTGAGTCACTATTGGATCTTTGGGCTAAGAGCTGATAGACTGAGTGAGAGGGGTTCTCTCTTTTTCACTCTTTCTATCTAAAAAGCTGATCTATTTGTGACAGAGGCCATACATATGAAAACTAGTCATTGAACCAAACTGTTTTGAAGAACCAGTTAGATTGGATTACTATTACTCAAACGTGTGGCAGCTTTTAGTTGGGTTTATGTTATGGTAGTATATGAATTTATTGTGACGTTATTGGATGTAATTGCATGATTGATGGAAATTCCAGTGAACAGTCGTAGTTGTGCTCAGGCTTGTCATAATTACATCTAGTGCGTGATCATTTCCTTAACATTGATTACTATGAAGCGATGGAAGAACCAGTTAAAACTTGTGCCTATTTAACTTATGTACAAGAAGTATGACTAACTAACTACACTAGTTATAAGTTAAATGTATTTATACAGCACATTTAAAAACAACCACTACATCAAATATGAATAATAATAATAATATGCATATTTGATACAAAATAGTAACGGTTATTAGCCGCATTATCAGGTCTACTCTGCTCTCTACTATTTTTTTTAAAGTATATCCATATATACAGTTGCCATGTCTATTAAATCTCTTCTTTTTGAGCATGCAAATTTATCCCTGTCTGTTTATATTTTGGACAGATTGAAAACAGCTATGCAGACACAGAAACACATGCTAATTAGTCTATTTTAATTTCCTCTCTAATTATGCGTTACATCTCTCCTTCCCCCTTTTGAACGCCTCATTTTTTGACACCAAGGGATTGCCATTCACATCCCACGTGCACCTCCCAGGCAGTGCACGCTCACACCCACCACTTTGTCTGAACTTTTAGCGCTTCTTTAATATTTACAGTCTGCCTTTGCTTGCTCTCAGCCGGGAGAATAAGCCCTCGCGGGACCTTCCTCTCCTTTTTTTTTGAATGACAGCAGAATTCAAAGCCAGCCCAGCGGGGGTTATGTCTGCAAATACACAGGCTGAGCTCCGTAAGCAGATGGAACCTTGGTGATTCCCTGCGCGAGAATTGAAGCTAGCCGGGACATCATTGTACATAGCATTCCCTGTCAACTCTCTGTCTCATTTCATTTGCAGGCACGTCCCTCATTCGAGCTGTACGGCTCAGCGCGCTACATGAGGTTGATGGGAGTGTTTCAAATCACTCAGGGTTTGGATCAGTCTTTGTGAACGGCACTCAAGTGTCCTTTACCCGTCGCTTTGAAACTCTAGTGGCGAGAAAAGCTCATTGTGAAAAGAGGAATGGTCATACAAGGAGAGGTGAAAGTGATCTAGGTGCGTGGTGAATGGGCAGGGCTGAGGACACAACCTGTCTGTATGGGCATTGGCTGCCACTCTATGCATTCTTGTAGCTCTGTTATGCTCGCCCATCTCTCAAACACATGCCTGCTCTGTTGCTCTTGTTTTGTGTCGTTCTCCTCGAGCACTGGCCAGCGCTCCGGCTGTAGGTGGAGCTGGCTTTCCTGGAATTGTCGGGCAACTTTTCCTGTTGTGCTTACTACCTCTCTGCATGGTCCAATCTTTTCTGTCTACTGACAGCTCTCCCTGCAGGATTACAAGCTTGGGAGCACTTATACTGTCTGGATGTCCTTCTCTATAGGTTCTAGGGTGCATGCATGTGTTATAATGGGTATTTTTTTATGATTTGGGACAGAAGTTTGAGAGCAGCAGAGATGTGGCGGCAGTGCAAAGAAGGGCGAAATCCATCGGTGGGTAAATCTTGTATGAATGGTCTGAGTAATGCACTTCGGGCTTTTGCAGCTCTTTGCCACAATATTATTTACAGAGCTTAGTGACTTCATTGTGTTTCATAACGTTGACGATGACATCAGAGGACTAGACCATGTATTGTATTTGCCTTACAAAGTTACTTATGTGCAAGACTTGTAGGACACTGAATAAGATAACAAAATACTTAAGTAGGACTTTTAATACTTTGTTGTATATTTGGTTCTTGTTTAGAAAAAAGTTATGAGCAGATTGGATTTGAATTGATTTGAGCAGATTTTATTTTTAATTTATACATACAAAGTTACTTAGGTAGGTACTTGTAGGACACTGAATACAATAGGAATATATTTAGCATGACTTTTCAAAGCTTTGTTGTATATTTGGTTGTTTTTTAGCAAAAAGCAGATGAGCAGATTTGGTTAAATTTCTTTTGAAAGCTTGAACAATGGGATAAGAAACAAATGATAAACATTTGGGAGTGGTATAGATACTCATGTGGATTCAGGCCTTTAAAAAAATAAATGGAACAGCACCTCTGGGAAGGGATTTGCAGTCTACGACTTTACTCTTAGTAAAGGAATATAATAATGTGTCAATCGTTGAAATGACAGCAAATAAGTCATCGTCGCTGTTGATTTTTACAGACGATACAAGACCGTCTACAGAATTTAAATTGAACAGATACAGTATATGGTGGCAACATTAAAGTCACCATGAATGTGATGTAATTAATTTGTTCATTGTGCATTTTGAGGCTAATTCAACGTGGTTTGGTCATGTTTTTATTAGTTTGGTTCTGAATAACCCTGTTGTGGTGGCACCAGGCAGCAGTGCTGCTACCCGGAAGGGTCTAGAGGTTTGAATGTAGATGAATGAGTGTTGAATGAGTGTGTGAACCTCTTCATACAGTAAACGGTCCTCCTAGAAGGAAAAATTGCTGTTCAGTTGTTTAGTTGTTTTAGCCAAGCAATTGGACATGTAGTTTTGATTTGTCATTAATGAGTAGTTTCCAGGTTATTTTGGAATGATACCCAATTACACCCATGTTTGACAAGTCATGTCCGTTGTCAGTAAGCATTACATAACTCAGCTCTGAACCCACGCACACCTTTGAATCAGTGACATGGAATGAAACTGCCACAGGTGCATCACAGCCGGTCGCCACAATACCCCGAGTCCTGTGCAGTGACACAGCTAAATATCCCGCAAGTTTCCCAATAAGAGTTGAAAAGAACTGACCAAAGTAGCTCAGAGATAATTGCTGTAACCCCACGACTTCAAAAAGGGGGGTTGCAGACTGCACTGATAATGAGTGCTGGCTTCTTCACACATAATGAGCGGTAGGTAGAGGGTTCACATGGAGCAGAGTGTCCGCTCGCAGCTGTGGGTGTCCGAATGGCTGGGAACAAAGGCTCAGTGTTTGTGATAGTGTAGCTCCCCAGCCATCAGCAAGCAGGCCAATATGCTTCTGCTTGGCTGAGCTGTCCATCCTGCCGCAGAATACAGTATGCACAGGAAAAACATGGTGAGACGCTGCTTAAATATCAATAGTGTAACTTCAGTCTAAGGCGTATGTTGGTCTGTGCATAATTCTCAGACATTATTTTGTATCTTGTCTGGTTTCTTTTTGTATTCTGTAGTCTCATTATCATAATCATATTTTGATTATATGCATAGTTTGCCACATTATAAATGCAGTTACAAAAAGGTATAGACGAGTTGATTGTATTATTTTAGAAAGTAACGCTAGGGTACCTAACTTTTTTCTTCGATAATCCGTGTTGTTTGTCTCCAACAGAAAGATGAAAAAACATATTTTTTAGAGAACATGGTATCTTTTGTACCTAAAGATTAGAGATTTTGTTTTATTTTGTGCTCTTCATTTCTACTGTTCTGTAACTTCTGATGCAACACTGAAATGTCCCCGATGTGGGACGAATAAAAGATCTCTTAATCTTAATCTTAATACTTGTAAGAAAGAGCCCTCTGAGTCACTATTTGACAGTTTGGGTTGGAAGTAAGGGTGGTCATCTGTTTCACTTTTATGTCTGAATAAGTGCATGTGAAAACTAATGATACATTTACCATACATTGAAAGTTAAGTACCCCAGCTTTAATATGAAATTGGGGGAATTAGGTATAAAAACTTCTGTAAAAATCAGTGGTATAAAACTGAAGCCCAAATGGTGACCTAATTCTTACTGATATAAATTGCACTGAATCAAATCGATTGCTAAGGCGTAAAAAGACAGTAAATGAAACTCAATTTAGCTCACTTTAGCTGTCACTAGAAATGTCGCCAGCACTACTTTTTACTTTTCTCCACTTAGTTCATTCCATCAAGTGTTAAAATTGCCCCTTCTGCTGGCTCTACAAAGTGAAACGTCTTGTGTGCTTGTTTTCCCAGATAGCTGTTCAGCTTCTGTGGATTTCGCTGTCATCCCTGCTGCGTTTTGCCTGAAGATGGAAACGCTGGAGTCGGAGCTGACCTGCCCAATTTGTCTGGAGCTCTTTGAGGACCCGCTGCTGCTGCCCTGCGCACACAGTCTTTGTTTCAACTGTGCCCACCGCATCCTGGTCTCCCACTGCACCCCCAGTGAGTCCATTCACTCCATCAGCGCCTTCCAGTGCCCCACCTGCCGCTATGTCATCACCCTCAGCCAGAAGGGTCTAGACGGACTCAAGCGCAACGTGACCCTCCAGAACATCATCGACCGCTACCAGAAGGCCTCGCAGAGTGGACCCAACTCACCCAGCGAGACGCGCCGGGACCGTCCCGCCGCCGACCCCTATGCCAAGATGGCCGACAGGGTGCAGTGTCAATTCTGTGAGCAGGAGCCTCCGCAGGACGCCGTGAAGACCTGCGTCACCTGTGAAGTGTCTTACTGTGAAGAGTGTCTCAAGGCCACGCACCCCAACAAGAAGCCGTTCACGGGCCACCGGCTGATCGAGCCCCTGCAGGACTCCCATGTGCGCTCGCTCATGTGTGTGGAGCACGAGGAGGAGAAAGTCAACATGTACTGCGTGACAGACGAGCAGCTGATCTGCGCACTCTGCAAGCTGGTGGGACGCCACAGGGACCACCACGTCGCCGCCCTCAGTGACAGATATGACAAACTCAAGGTATGGCATGTCCACAAGAACGCGTTTTTACAAGGTTCAGATTCAGATTAAAGCTACTTTATTTACCCCACCAGGGGCAATTCGTTTGAGCCGCACAGGGCATTAAAAAAACATAAGAAACACAACACGGGCAATGCCCGACAGTAACATAAGAAATATGATATGAAAGTTGTTTTTTCTGAGACACGTCACCGTTTTTTAAATTTTCCAGTAAACATCTGTTCAAAATATGTTAGCTAGTATATTTTTTCTTTGGGCTTATTGATCACACATGACCAAAGATTGAAAATGTTTATCACTTTTTTCACCTTCCCTTTTAAAAGTGATGTATCTAACTTCAATTGTATTTCATTTTTAAAGTAATGCCTTTTTGACTGTACAGTATGATCTTGTGCTATCATGTAAATTAAATATTTTTCAACTTTAAAGTTTTTCCTGGAGGAGAATATTTTGCAGGGATTTGAATTAATTCTGTCCAATCAGGAGGCTGTAAAGGTAAAAATGGGCAGGTCTAACTAGCTTTTAAGCTTTAAATTTTTGTTTTCTTTTTTTCATATTTATATTAACTACCATTGTCTTACCAAGGTCCTCGACAAGACACTCAAAATGTATTCTCCTGTACTGGTTGCCATAAGGAAAATCAATGAATAAATAATAGTAAAAATACAGAACAGAAAGGAATAGTCCAAGACAATTCATGAAGTGGGACAGAATTGTTAAAAGAGCTTTAATCAAACAGGGACAAAAAGCTGACGCTGGCCCCGCATGGGTTTTCATCAGAGCAAGTCTAATTTCCTGATCTACAAGCAGATTAAAAAAACAAAAAATAATAATAATAATGCCTTTTATAATAAATACTGAAAATCCTGTTAAACTTGATGTCTTGATTGCACGCTGATTATCATCAACCACATTATTTAATGTTGTATGATTTAAGACAGTATTAATAAGTGAAAGACAGGCATACGTGTCTCATTGAAATGAAGCCTAAATTGAAGGTTGCTGTTAACAAGAAAAGCACTGAACAAAAGCATGAATGTTGTATGATAATTGGTACAGGCGTACATTATGTTATCTGCAAGTGAAGAATATTAATTAAGAGTTCAGAGGCGGTGACCCTCTTGGCCGGCCTTAGATGACTCCCTGTGTGCAGTGGGATCTGCTGTCGCTCAAAGCAGATGGGTGGTATCAATAAGAAATGATGTGATTAGCTCAAGTATAACAAGGTAGCTCTGGAATTTTGATTCCTATTTTAAATGGATGAGCTTCTGTCATTTACTCTGATTTGGTATTAAAGCAGCAGTGTTTCTCAATCCAATACCATGCATTATTCAGTTTTTCTCTTCTTCAAATAATGAGAATCATAGCTAGCCTCAGTCCTTCCTGTTAAAACAGTTAAAACATTGTGTTAGTGTTGAAGTTGGTTTGATGCGTAGTGCATTTTGATCTGAAGGAGGGTGTTTGTTACTAGCACTTTACTAACACAACCTTTGAGTGACTTTTTAGGGAACGTTTATGAATGTATATTTTGTCCCTGTTTTATGAACTAATTAATACGTAAAATGTCTACATCATGATTTATAGTCTAATATTAACTTTGACACTATACAGATGAAGTATTCACATAAATGTTAGATCTAGTTTTTTATTACAATATTTTTGCATGACTGTCCAAAAAAATTATTGTTGTAAAATGCAGAAACGTGTCGTTTTAGTGTGTTGGATCCATAACATTGAATTTACAAAAAAAAAATCATGGTACACTGTATGCAAATGCTTCTGTTCTGTGTTTGCATGTTATTGGCAATCACTTTCCTTATGGCTACCTTAAGGCTACCCTTGGACTTGGGTGTGCATGGAACATACGCATGATTATTCATAACATCCTTTTGTCTCATCTGAATAGTCATTTGTCATGCATGCCTTATGGAGGCTTATATAAACTGTATCACAAAAGCCACTTAGGTCTTCTTGTCCATGTCCTATAACGCTTGGTCAACCTGGCTCAAACTTACACGCTTCCTCAAAAGGTGCAATAGGTAAGAAGGGAGCTTCTTAACACTCTTTCCTCTGTTCAATGATGCTGTCGCTGTGCAGAAAACCCCCGGACTCTTTCTCTTTGAGGGGCGTGGTGATTCTTACCAGGATGCAGACCAGGTGACCATTTCTCTAATTCTTCACTTAGAGATTGTGGTTGGTCATTTCTATGACCCCCATTATGCCCTTTGCACAGCAGACTTGGTGAAAGTAACTATAGCCTGCACTATTGTATAGGCCCTGGAACAGTAAGCTGAGCCATACTATTGTCGCTGTTATTAATATGGTGCATTGTGTTGTGAGCCTTTGAGATGCTTGTTATCTGATTCACTATGTAATGAATGTGTTAACACTATTCTCTCTCTTCATAAATTAATCTGTCAGAGCTGTGTTTACATTACTGGCCACACAAATAGAGCTAAGATGAATGGAATCCATTTTACCTCATTAGAAATTGTTACGGCTATTATTGCTTTTCCCACTTGATCTGGCATACAGTCTACATCAGCTTACATTTCAATAATAGGAATCTCCTTTCGTGTATTATGCTTCTACTGTAGAAGATGTTAAATGGGAATAAATAAATTCAGAAAACTCATTGAAAGTGCAATTGTTCTTTTATGGACACAGATGGTGTGACTTTGAGTGTCTCATTGTTGATTTAATATAGTTGCAGCCACTGGAAAGTGTTATTTGGCATCGTTCAAACTGGGAAGTTCTTGGGGAAGCTATGATGACAACATCTTAGTTTTACTTTAATGATGCAAACATTCAAATGTTCAGAGAAGATTTATACTTTTGCTTATATTAGCCATTATATAATGGTATTGTCTATAATCCATTACTTTTTAATGCTTGTATGACATAATCACATACACTCACAGGAAACTAATGGAGATCCTACAAATGTTCTGGTATTTAAATGAACAATGTGGATCAGGGTGAGCAGAGAGTGAATATTTTTTTCAATTGTAGGCCCGGTTTAATTCTATGGGAGATTCACTAATTAATGACTAATTCTTAATTACCGATCACCTCATTGGAGTGGTGTAATGGAACGAGTTTCTGAAACTATTGTGGGGAATACATCCCTTAATTATATTGATGGAACGGACATTGAACTTAGTGCCAGTTTCAGTTTAGTAATGAAAGTCGTTACCATAAACTAGATCTATACATCCGGTAGTTAAACTTGCAACATTTTTGGTAATCTGTCCTAGCTGAGATATACAACTGCTGACACAATTTGACCAAAACATATTGAGTTACATTTCATTATTGCAGTTGACAACGCTTATCTTATCTCACTTCCCCAATCTTTTTCCTTTTTATTATTAAAGTCAACTTTTCTTTTAAAGTTTCCAACAACTTTTGGGTATAGTTTCTGCTAGTATTTGTTGTTGAAATGCTGCTTGTGAGCATCAAGCTAAGTGTACTGTAACAATACAGTGTCAGTGTCACATACGTGGGTGGAAGTCGTGACAGGATGACGTGTAACCTTTGACAATTGATAAAATTCCAAACGCCGACACAGGATAAAATTCCAGGTCCCAACAGTGACCCGTGCGGACCGGCTGAGGAAGGAAGAGAGAGTGGCCAAAGCAAAGGTGTGGGGCCACACACTTTTTCATATCAAAGGAAGCTGCTTGTCTGCCCTCATCAGGTCAAAGCTCTTTTAGGAAAACACCACTATTAGTGGGCTAAAAATGTTCTTTGTTCAGTTGTATTAATTCTTGAGGCTTTTGTATGTTAGGGGAATTCTGCTGTTTTGTCCAAGGCTTTCAGCGCCCCATTCAGTTGATAAATAAGTCATGTGAGCTGTGAAATTCAAAGTGCATTATGAAATCACAATGTCAGTTCTATTACTATTCCATATTTGAGTTGTCCCATATGAATACATGTTGCCAGAAAGTGCATGTGTCTGATGTAATTAAAAACATACAGTTTTAACAAAGAAAACAGTTTTTTGTATGTATTCAATTTCAACCTTTTCAATGCCATTGCACTTTAGGCTGGTTCAGCCAGAGCCTGGAGATGGAACAGCAGGGTGCGGACCACCACCAGGAAAATTACTTAATGCGCCTTTACATTCCTAATACCAATTGCTTCACATTTTCCCATTTCAACTCATTCCAATTATTTCTGCCTATTTGTCATGAGATATAGTTATTACTAATTAAATCTAGGTTAAAAATTGACATCTGATTAGAAGTGTAATTCATGTGTACCAGGGGACATAGTCATCCTGCTGCCCAATTACAGCAGCAGATTAAGTTTGAAACAGAAGCCTTTGATCTGACTCAGTGATTAGCACAGTTGGGCTTTAGTTGTCCAAATCAGTGGCAGATGCTCCGATAAGCTCCGCGGCCTGAGCCTCAACAATCATGGGATCTTTGGCACACGGTGAGCACTGAGGGTCCCTTCACTCATCAGACACAAAATGCAATCAGTCGTATCCACTAGTCCTGCTGCGTGTGGATGCCTTTCTGATTGTTGCAGCATTGTAAAGTAATGTTCTCATAAACTTAACTTGCCTCTACGATTTACTGTGGCTGTTAGCGTTTTGATGAGGAGACAGTATGTAATGAAATATTCCTTTTCAATTTTGTTTTCGCAGCAAGCTCTGGATTCCAATCTGAGCAATCTAATCAAGAGGACCAGCGAATTGGAAACGCTGATGGGCAAACTTATCCAAACCTGCCAGCATGTAGAGGTGAGGAGGGTTCTCTGCCTTCTGCTGAAGTGCTCGCAATTTTATGGACAATGAACCATAGAATTGATATGACTACACGTTTGTTTTTTGTTATCAATATATATTCAATCTATGTATGCAAACATTACAATGAAATGTTATATTAGAGGCCACAACAAGAGACAACAAAGTCAATTTAGAAATAACATAACTTTGTATATGATATAATTGTTAAATATTCTGCATAACTGTTTCCATATTTTTGGCATAATTTGACATTTTCAGTATGTTCGAGACAACATTTAAAGGGTCATTACCATTACAATCATGCTATTTTTGCCAGAATCTTCTTGCCTGTGACACAAAAAGATAGCGCCACACATTTGTTGGAGACACCACTGCAGGTTGAGTTACATGTGTCTCCAACAAATGTGTGGTGCTATTTTTTTCTTTGAGAATTGTATTATTAACAAATGTGTTAAAAAAGAGCCAAAAAGGCCAATACCAGCTTAATTTTACCTTATAAACTGGCAACCTAAATCTGCTCAAAAACTGTAAAGATAAATATTGTAGACATCATAGATATTGTGTTTTAATTATTTATTAAGTCTTGTTCATAAAAGATCAAATATCTAGATGTTGGCCAATTACCGAGGGACACATAAAAAAGCTGTACATGTAATTTCAAGTCAAGATGTAACTTATGCAAACCAATTGTACAATGAACTTGTTAAAGAGAAAGCATGCTGTGGCAAAGGCTACACTGTCATTGTTATGTTTTACAATATCCATCCTGGCCATAATAAAAATGTTTTAATTCATAGATTTCTCCCCAATTTCCAAGACTGGTTGTTCAGTTCACATCAGGACTAAAGATAAAACATATTTTTTATTGATCCCAAATGATTGGGATGAAAATATCCCCGTACTTTCCTAAACAAACTTAAGGGGCAGAAGTAATAAATAAGACTGCTTCCACTATCCCCAGAAGTGGGCATACATAAAACATACCGATAAAAATGCAAATGCAGTTATTACTGTCTTATCGCACAGGCCTCACGTGTACTGACAATATTATATAGCACAGATACTGACTCAAACATAATGTTATGACTATAAACGTATCGGTGTTGAATCACAGTGTGGCTTTTGCTTTATATACATTTTATGAAGTCAGAAGATGATTGCTTTACCATAATTATGAGAAATGGATCGATAGGGGCCAGATTGCGGCACTCATCCTGGCCAGTCAGAAAAGACATGAGTTATCAGCTCTATAGTGCAGTTACCCTGCCACACCAGGCTTTATTACATATTGATTAATTGCGTTGTCACTAATGCAACGTACTCTAAAATTATGAAGGTCCTGTCCACGGTGCAGCAAAATATATGGCGCTGGCAAGTAGATCATGAGATTACTGCCCGAGCCGTATATCTTTCCTCTGATTATGTTTCCCTTATGTCTGATATTTATATGTGCTCTAGGTAAATGCAACAAGGCAGGAGAACAAGCTGCTGGAGGAGTGTGACCTGCTGATTAACATCGTACAACAAAGAAGACAAATTATAGCCAGCAAGATTAAGGAGGGCAAGGTATTGTTTATAACCACTTGTGTCTTATGATTAAGGATCTGCTGCTTTTCACTGCTACGTTCTGTTGCTTATAGTTCAAGTGCAATATTCAAATTCTCTACTGTGGGAGACAAGTTGTGAATGAGAATTATCTTGCTCTTGGTCATAATAATAAAATGATAGTTATTCCTTTGCTAACCCTGTTGGTGCGTCTTGTCTGATAGCATAACCTTGGCTGCTTTGTTAAAGTTAGAGTTTAGACACACCCTAAAATTATTCTTTGCCTTTTGTTTGAGTCATGAATGGCAATAGTACATTAACTGAAACGTGAATGTTTTAGGGATGGGGGATATCTTTCAAAATCATTCTGTATTTTATGATCTATTTGTAAACTATTTAAACAGTGCAAAATTGTATGAAGAATTCAAATGTCAAAATTGTAGAAATGTCCCACTGTGGGGAAATGTCAGTGTCATTGTTACACAAACAAAATACAGGATAATAATATATTATACAGAAGAAGATAATACAAAATAGATCGATAATACATTCTTGTCTCTCTCAATCCACAAACAAGCTGGAAAAAACTCGAGTGGGTGCCTTGAACATTCGGCAGTTGCAGCCGCGGACATTTTGGTACTTTTTTGTGTCATTGACTTATCTTTAACACATTTGTACGGTTTAGTGTGGAGTGAGCAGACCGTAGCTGTTAATTTAGGCCCATATTGAGAAAGGTGGAGCTGTGTACTGCCCAAAAAAAGAAGTACACTCATAAAGAAAGTATATCCAGCCATTCCTTCTCTTCTGCTGGTTCACTTGCCGGGTCATAGAGGGAGCAGTCTTCCCTCTCCACACACTTTTCTCCAGCTCATACGGGGGAATCCTGAAGCGATCCCAGGCAAGGTGAGAGACAAAGTGCCTGCAGTGTGTCCTGGGTCCTCCTGGGGCCTCCTCTCAGTGAGACATGAAGCTCGTAGGAGAGGCGAATTTTGGTGTGTAGATGCAATTTGTTTACAGAAAGCAGATTACAACAACTACGCACTATAGATGAAAACTTGTTCCTACTCTGACTCGCAGTAAATTATCATAAGGCGCTATTCATGTTTAAAAATAAACAGAATACTGGATACCAAATGATCAATTTATCACAAATAGGAGTTATTATCCCTGATTTGTCATGTTTTGTCTATAAACTCAAGGTTCATGCAATCAGTTAAGGCAGTTGTATCTAATTCTTCTCTCCACTTCATTTACAACACAACTGACACTAATTTAGTTTTACACACTTTCACCAACATTTCAAAAACAGTGACACACTTACTGCTGTATAATTATAGACTTGTGCAAGCTGTGTTAGCTCATCGCATCTTAGCTCACAAAAATGATGCTCTCTGATCTTGTGCTTTTCCAAATCTAGTTTGTGCCAACATCCCCTTAGGTTTGAATATATTATTACTTTCTCAGAGATATGCCACACGCCGCTCGTACTAAAGGCTTCAGACTTTACTGGGTCGCTTTTATCTTCTACTGCCACTAAATCATTACTAATATTTCTGAAGTTTTCCTGGCACTTTATCTGCAGTATACATTTATGTGCCAGCTCGAGCTCATGAATCATTTCACATCTTCTATATGTCGTTAGAGAGGCAATGTGCTGTTCAGTGTGTGCAATGGAAGACTTGCAATCATTAACACTTGCTTTGGGAGAGAATGATTTATTTTCTTGTACATTTTCACCTTTTTAACACAGGCAAGATGAAATACTTGTTATCAGTATAATCAGATATAGATATGCTGTTAGAAAAAAGAAGGATTAAACAGATAAATACGCACTGAATGATAGTAATTACAAGACTTTTGGGGTTTGGTCGCTCTTGCATTCACATTTAGATGCATTGATGATTAGAAAATTCAGACTACAGTGGAACAACATTTTTATCAACTATATATCAATAAACAATGTATAAACAAATGTCAATTGGGGGTTCAATATTTATCGTCTATAGATTTTTTTAGCAATAGTGGCAGGAATGTTGTAACATGGTCAGGTTTGAGCCCTATATGGTTTAATAAGTTTCTTTTATGGCTAAACATTGACTCATTTAACTGATGTGAGCTTCTAGACCAGAGTTCAATTGTGGAACCACCAAACCTGTGCCTTGATCCACTTGTCATTTAAGTTAGTTCACTTTTTTTTTAAGCAGTCCAGTGTGGCAAAAGAACTGTTGCACTTGCTTCCGATAAGTGTGAATGCTCTTCAAATCAAAGAGAAAAAAAGGATTTTTATTCCCCCACAAAGCCTTCTGGCCAGAACAATCCTTTCGGTCTTGGGCTGCTGTGGTTTAGTTTACAAATATGCATCAAGAAACACTGCAGCATAAGCTCAATGTCATTTCTCAGCCATTCGATTTGTTCCCCATTTATCACGACTCAAGCTTCACTCCCTGGTGAAGAGGCCTTTTCTTCATGTCCGCCGACAAACTCATTGGTTAATACTTGTATATAAATCCTTAATTGGCAAGCTGCCGTTACAGCTGAGTTCATTTTTAAACATACACAGGCCCAGCAGCATTCTTCGTTCCAACAGCGCCATCAGTCTCGTTGTCCTTGAAACACACACAACATTCAGTACAGTCGCTCCTCTTTTCAGTTTTCTAAAGCACTGAACAACCACTGGAACCATCTGCAAAATACTTTAAAACTGAGATCACCTGTTCCTCTGAGCACTTGGCTATTATCTGTGGCATATACACATTTTAGTTATGTTAAGTATAATATAAGCTGTTTGTAATATTTTATGTATGAGTTTCTACTGTGTGTTCTTTCCAGTGTTGGTTCACATGCCAGTTCGTCATTGTGAATTAACTAACGACCTACCTGGTTAGATATTGAGCAAATTAAATTAATAGATGTGTCCTCAATTGCAAGTAAGCAAAGACTAAATCAGGACGAGACAGTGAGCAAACCAACTGTGTGTTCTGCCTCATACTGGGATGGAGCTATGATAAAAGTGTATCTGAATCAATGCTCTAAAACTGAAGCTGGACCATGTTTTGTTTTATGGTCTTCTTCGTCCGGTCCAAAGAACAATACATTCAGAAACTTGCACTTCCTTAATGAACTGGGATGATATACTGGACAGTCCATTTTCTAACTACAATTGTATTCTTGTGATGAAAGTTACCACCTAAGTTCAATGTTTAAACCGGCATCGTATCTGAAAACAAAATGTAACAGACTCTCGAACATTATATCTCTATAATTGTCCACTCAGAACCTGTTGAGGGTCCCCCACACTTGTTGAAAAACCCAGGGAGACAGATCCTTCCAGGCTGTTGCTCTTCTCCTTTAGAATGAGCTTCCACAGTCTCTGCGCATGTTTGTGCTCTGTCAATAATATGAAGTCGCAATTTTAGACTTACTTGTTTAGGCAGGCTTTCTCGCCTCACCGTACGTATGCCTATCTGAAGTGCGTTTAGGATTTTTCTGTATATTCTTCTTTTTTACTGACTTCTATGTGTACTATTTTTTTTGTATCTTTTTATTGTGAAGTGCTTTCTGATCCTGGTCTGTGATAGGCGCTATATAAATACAATTTACTTTCTTACTCACACTAGAAAGAGACGCTTGCACAGGACTTTAGCATCAGCCTTCATAGCTGCTTGATTTTGCAACGCCACTTTGTTTGTGATTCCAGTCTTTGCGCATTAGAAAACTGGCCCAGCAGATCAGCAGCTGTAAGCAGTGCATCGAAAGGTCCTCGTCCCTCATCGCTCAGGCCGACCAGAGCCTGAAGGAGTCGGACCACGCTCGCTTCCTGCAGACGGCCAAAAGCATCTGTGAGAGGTGAGAAAACAGACGCCGCGTGACACCACTCCACACAACACAGACCCCGCCAGATGGACGAGCCGACGCTAAATGCTGTGTTCTGATTTGGGTGTTGCAGGGTCTCCATGGCAACAGCCTCCTCCCAAATCCTCCTGCCAGAAGTGAACTTGAACGACAACTTTGATACTTTTGCTTTGGACTTCACCAGAGAGAAGAAGATGTTGGAAGATTTGGATTACCTCACAGGTGATTTATTGTTTGTATTAATTATTTCATTTAGATTATAAGGATATTTAAAGGAAACCTGCAACAATGGGGGGTTGTTGAGATTGGATTTTGGTATTTACTTCAAGCCAGATCAAACTCTGATTTTTCCATTGAATTACTGTTCTTGTTATTGAGTTGAGTTGAGTGTTTATTTATTTTGAGTTCATGTACATCAAATCAACCATTTACAGATACATTATTGTATGGAATTTAAGTGTTTTTGGAGGAGTTAACATCAGATAACTTTTCCCCAGCCCCTTTCTAGTCGACTAATCAGTCACCTGGTCTCTACGTCTTTAGTTGACCAAAAATGTCTTCACAATTTTATTCAATAAAAGGTCTTGGCTCCTTTTGAGTAGCAGCAACATGCACTCACTATAACAAGTAAATTCTCAATGATAAAGTAGCTTCAAATCCCTGGTTGTTTCATTCTGCCTGTATCTGAGAAATTAGAAAGCCACAATATCTGGGTTTATTGAAAAAACAGCCTCTCTAACAGACGTTTTAGATTTTTTTGATATTCCTGAAATATCAAAAAAATATATTAATCGATACACCTGAAATCACATCAAGAACCACGACGATAGTATTTTTAGTTACAATTCTAGGGTGGAAAATTCATACTTTCCTTAGCCCACATATGATTTTGGAGTCACCCTTATTGACCTCATGTGTTTGTTTATATGTACAGTACATTTGGTGGCACGTCTCATCAATCTTCAAATTAAAAGGAAAAACATGTTGTGTCGCGTCCAGAATAAGAAAAATGTTACTTACATTTCCCTACAAGTGCCAATTATATTGCCAACAAACAAACCCCTTTTGGCAGGTAGTAAAAGGCAGGGCGAGCAGAATATTTGAACTGGCAGTTTAATAGCTATGAAACCGTGCGCCAACTGTGATTATGTTGTAGTGAATGGGAGTGCAGTGCATTTGTGATGGCTCCTTGTTTTGTCGCTCTCTGGATGCTGGTTATTTCATTGTACTCTTGTATGCAGACAGGATTCAACAATGATTACTAACACAGGACAACATTTGCTTCTGTGTTCTCTTCGCAGCTCCAAATCCACCCCAAATCCGTGAGGAATTATGCACAGCCTCCTATGACACCATCACAGTTCACTGGACTTCAGATGATGAATTTGCTGTTGTTTTGTACGAACTTCAATACACTATTTTCACCAACCAATCAAACGTTGTCAGTAAGTGCAAATCTTTTTTTTGTTTTGTAAAGAATTGATACAAGGAATGAAATGTGAAGATTTTTTCTATTGTTTTGTGACAAGGATTTGAGTGCTCTTTCAGGGCTTTTGCATTTAATGACTTTGGATTATCTAAAAGAGGATAACAGAAGATTCAATTCATGTGCTGAATATTGTTTTAAGTAGAAACAGCTTGATGGAGGAAATTTTTTCGAAAAAGGCCACAGCTTGTTCAGTCGAGCAATTCATTTCCATCTGCTTCGTTCTTCAAGCACACTTCAATGAGTGCCGCAAAGCCGCTATAGATTGAAACAGGGCGTACAATTAGACGGGATTGGGTCTCTTCATCTGAATACTGAACAAGGTCCTCGCGGTTTAATTATGTTTTTGACTTGTTCCAGGGTGTGATTTCAGTCTTTCTGTAACTGCAGGTCTCTGTAACTCGGCCGATAGCTGGATGATAGTGCCAAACATCAAACAGAACCACTACACTGTGCATGGCCTTCAGTGTGGCACCAAGTACATCTTCATAGTGAAGGCCATCAACCAGGCCGGGAACCGCAACAGTGAGCCGGTCAAACTAAAGACCAACAGTAAGTCTCATAGTGTTATGGAGGGACTCCCAAACTATTTATTCATTAATATTACATTTATAAATAAATGAACCTGGATTATTCTTTTCTTGATTTCTTTGACCAAATAAAAATGACTGCTAAACTCAGTCTGATTGTAGAATTAATAAATGTGCTCATATATAGCCATCCATGCAAATTTTGTATTTGTTATTTTATTTTTGTGAAGCTAAAATGTAATTTACAGTATTTACATATCATGTTAGAAACATACATATACACATAAACATACATTTAAGCATTTCCTTTGCTCCCACCTTCATTTGCATTTGGGTCAAACAAAACAAGGAAAGAATAATACTATAGTTATACAAAATCTTTAATTTTAATTAATTTAATTAATCAATTAAATAGATGCAAACTTATAATGTAATAATATTTTTTCTCCGCTATTCTCCTTCTCTGGATTTGTTCTATTGATCTGAACGTCGCCTCATACAATTGCTCAGTGTGATTATGTTATAAATGAGGGATTACTTAAAAAAAAAAAAAGGATTAGGCAATTATTAGTATCATTTATTGGCTGATGTTGTCTTTATATTTTTTAATACTAACAGCTAACACACTTTCTTTTAAAAGGGACTGCAGATGATAGAAAGTCACAGTTTGTCTAATATCTGGTGTTGTACATCTTTGTCTTTTTTGAGCTTTTATCTTTGTGCATTGTCCCATTAAAAAAAGACAAAGCTAAAAATAAAAAGACAATTGAAATTGAAATTTGGTGGAGCAAAATTTCCTGAATTATGTTTTTAATGCTTATATTCTCACATGATTTCTATAGGTGCAAATATTCAAACTGAATTATGGAAAGTGTGCATTAGCAGAGCTGAAGTTGGCTAAATTACATTATGAACATCTGTTTATGTTCTTTGCTCTGGGCTACAATGCCCATATTGGCAGAGCTCAAATTGAGTTGGTGGCTGAGTGGGAGCAGTAACGTGATTAAATGATGATTAAAAAAAAATTCTTGGCCGATTATCAATTTCTCTCAACATCGACAAACCTATAAAGAAAATCGATAAACCTATAAAGAAAAAGGTCATTCCCTAGTCATAAAGTGGACTGACCCTGATCATATATTTCTCTAGGTCAACCTTTCAAATTGGACCCAAGAACAGCCCATCGGAAGCTGAGAATTTCCCATGATAATCTGACAGTGGAAAGAGATGAAATATCTTCCAAGAAGAGCCATGGTCAGGACCGCTTCTCCAGCCACAGCAGCTACGGAGTCACTGGGAACGTTTACATCGACAGCGGCCGCCATTACTGGGAGGCTTTAATCGGAGGAAGCACATGGTGAGCCCTGTTTCCCACATTTTATAATTTATTACATAAGCATTATCCATAATATTTGCCTCCTTTTATAGGTTTGCTGTAGGCATTGCCAACAAGTCCGCTCCTAAACATGAGTGGGTGGGGAAGAACTGCTCCTCCTGGGTTCTGTCTCGCTGTAACAACTCGTGGATGGTGCGTCACAACTGTAAGGAGATGGCCGTGGAGCCGTCCCCACACCTGCGACGACTGGGGGTTCTGTTGGACTATGACTCCGGCTGTCTCTCGTTCTACGACGCTGTGGCCTCTCAGCACTTACACACATATGACATCGCCTTCGCTCAGCCCGTGTGCCCTGTCTTCAATGTGTGGAACAGGTGTCTGACCGTTCTCTCTGGCCTACCCATTCCGGATTATTTGGACGGAATAGACTACAACAACTGAAATGTCTTCTTTTGTGCACTGAAAGACAACAGATCATGTACTGCACTAGTGACTATGAAAAAGAAAACAATGTGTTGAAATAATCAGGGTTGTTATCTCAATAATTGATTTTCTATTATTTTTTAACATGTTTTTAACTGTATTATATTGCACCTTTATGTACTTTTGCCATAGTTCTAAATATGAATGCTTGTTAAAAAGAATGTATTAAAGGCTATTTTGAAACGTGTATAATATTTTAAAGCCCTGGCACTTTACAGTAACACACTCTATATAGTGAATATAATGGGAAAAAATACACAAAATGAAGAACAAAATGCTACATTTTGTTAACAAAATAGGATATTTGCTAATTTTGTTCCTAATCTGACTTTCTTTACGCAACACAGCATTTCTAATCTTGACAATAAAATTCCTTGTGCATCGTGTATGTGTTTTGGTCTTTTTAAACATTATATTTTGTTGTTTTGACAGTGTGCCTCTGGGGAGCCCATGGTCTAACACCCAGATATAACCTATAGCCTCTGACATGATTCACATTGACATCTCTTTTTGTACTCAACTAACCCGGCCTGAATTCTTCAGCGTCTCCTTTCAACCCAAGAAGAGCGAGAAAAAAGCATGAACTCTGAGTGACCTGTTATCAGACTCCCTGCAGACACCTACCAATACTGTATCTGCTGCCTTTGGATCCACAGATGTCAGACCGCTTGTGAAACAAAATAGACAATGTTTTAGAAAGAGTTGGGAATGAAAACACAAAGTCATGCACATCATTCTTTTAATGGACTATTATGTCTTGACTGGGTGCAGTCAAAAGTGTTAGTTAATACAATATTTCAATTAATTTGATAGAAGATTCAGTAAAATATTCAATTTAGGCTGTTCATTTAGAGTGCCCTTTACGTTTCGTGATTTACTTTGAAAAGGCCAAGTTAGTTATACAGACTAATACAGTTCTTCTAGGAATAACCATAGACTGTATGGAATGACTGACTTCATAGTCTCTGAATAGAGATCATGAATCTACGGAAGCTTGTTAGGTACGGAAGCTTGTTAGGTTCACTTGTGAGTGTGTTTTTTTCCCCGCTGGTATCATGTTATTTCATGATACTTTCATGAAATAACATGATAAATATCTTGTTATTTCATGATACACAACTATCATGTTCTTTCATGATACCAATTTATCATGTTATTTCATGATACCAGTTTATCATGAAATAACATGATACTGTAGATACAGAAGAAGCTGTCAGCTTCTGATAAATTGGTGTCATGAAATAACATGATGGTTGTGTATCATGAAATAACATGATAGTTGTGTATCATGAAATAACATGATAGTTGTGTATCATGAAATAACATGATAAATTGGTATCATGAAATCCCATGATAGTTGTGTATCATGAAATAACATGATAAATTGGTATAATGAAATAACATGATAGTTGTGTTTCATGAAATAACATATTATCATGTTATTTCATGAAAGTATCATGAAATAACATGATACCAGCGGGGAAAAACCATGGATGTATTATGGAAAAAACACACTCACAAGTGAACCTAACAAGTTTCCGTAGTAATGAACGACTGCGTTGATCTAACCTTGCCTGCAAGCTGAGTCTCGCGGTATTTGTGAGTTCACAAACACTCGAGAATACATCTTGTACCGCTCCCGCTTACACTTTTCGAGTCGAACCACTGGGTGTGCGAGCCAATCACGCGCCAGTCTGGGGGTTTAGGGCGGGATATCCGGGTTTGACGAAAGCAAGAAGTGCCGGGCCGAAGCAAAACAAACATGACTACGCAGGAGGACGGACGCGTAGCTGAGGCTATCAAGTCAGTTTTAGCAGAATCTCCAATTTCTTTTTTGAAAGATGAACAGCGAGAGGCGCTTTGTGCATTACTGGACGGCAACCTTGGTAGGCGGGCACACAGCGTCACTTCGCCCAATCAGCTTGAAGTATTCTGCTGCTTAGCCCTCCTTTCCCCGAAAGGATTCTCCTGCAGAAATCCCAGATTGATATCGTGGAGAACGCGTTAGAGTTCTACACAATCATCAATCTGGCTCTTGCCAGGTTAGCGTTGATCGACTGTAAGAAGATCTCAAACGAACATAATGAATGACTGGATCGCCCCGCCCCTGCAGTTCCGTCACCAGACTCCGCCCACAATCCCGGAACAGGAAGTGTCTGAGCCGTGCTGACGTTGGTGTTGTCCACAGTGATGATGGCGTCCATAGAGCATTCCCTCCTGGATCTGACAGATAAAGAAACCCGGGAGAAGCTGTGTTTGTGGGACCGACGTACAGACGCCATGGCTCCTCTGACAGAGACCCAGACAGATTCTGTTTTAGAGCTGCGGACTGCTGCAGAGGAGCTGCCTGTTCCCTCTGAGGTGAGATGCTAAGGCTAGTTAGCTGTACTGCTAACTTACTATGGTCTTTAACTCTGTGCTGATTTCATAAAGATAATAATACTTCTGCCTGTCCAAGTGAGTGTGTCTGACAGTGAATAATGTCGTCGCTGTGTTTCATGTACTGCTGTGGGTTCCTGGGAAGTGTCATTCCGTCTTCTCCAGTGTCCAAACAAATGAGCTGTCAGATGTGTTGTGTGTTTTGTAGTTGCCCATTGAGGACTTGTGCAGTTTGTCATCACGGTCATTACAGTCCTTTAGTGCCACAGTGCCCGCTTCTACAGAGGACGTGTTGCTGAGGGGCTTTCAGATGCTGGACATGGAGAATGACAGGATAGAAACAGCACAGCAGGTGACTACCTCACACATTATAACTTCACTTTGCACATATGCGCAGTGATGTACATCTTCATGTTTTACAGTTTTTTGCCTGGTTCGCCAAGTTACAAGCCAGCATGGACCAAGATGAGAGCGCAAAATACAGGTAGATCTATTTAGTACACAATAGTAACACTTCAATTATTATGAATGAAGTATTATGAATAACAACAGGCTATCAATATAATTGTAACCCCAGGAAAACAAGGGATGATCTTTACTGCTACCAGGAGCAGTGTGATGCTATTCTTAAAGACGTCAGTGCAGCATTAGACCAGTTGGGATCTCTTCAGAAACAGTATCTGTTTGTGTCAAACAAGACCGGCACACTGCATGAAGCTTGTGAACAACTTCTCAAAGAGCAGGTAATGAGGATGGATATGAAGTAATTTTGAAACTGGAGATTTTTAACTGAAAATAATATGTTTTCTGTCCAGTCTGAGCTTGTTGACCTGGCTGAGAGCATTCAACAGAAGCTGTCATATTTTAATGAGTTAGAAAACATTAACACGGTAAGTGTCAGAGTGTGCATTGCCTTGTGAATCGGAACTGATGACACAATTCGATACAGGGCAATAAATCCCAATACTGAACTGTAAGGCTAGATTATTCTTGAATATCACTTTGAAAAGATTAAGAAATCCTATATTTTCCCACAGTGGAGAAATCCAGAACTTCATATATTAGTCTGGTGCACTCTGGGGTACTTTTGCACATTTATTTACATGATGTGGTTTTACTGCAAATTAATCTGATTAGGAATGAGGAGTACACAACTAAAGATAATTGAATATTTAGTAAGTCTATACTTAAAATAAATACAATAACATCTATATTTAGCAGAATAAAGAAGCAAACTATAGAATACTGTATAATCTAGTACAAAGAAATATATATTTGTATGTATAGATCTGTAGATGAATCTGTTATACACCCAAGTGCAAGAATATTTAAATCATTTGTAAACAAAAAAAACAAAACTGGATTAATACATTCACAGTGATGATGATACTGTTGTAAATGGTAACAGCATGAGGCTCCGGGGAAAAAAAAAACCTTTGTAAAGTGACAGTGGGCACATGTGGTCAATAACAAATACGTTCAGTTGTGTCATACTCCTGCTCACTAGAAAACGTGCAGGACAAAAATAATCTGAATGCATGTTTTTCTATTTTATAATCACAAATCATGGACATTTTATGTCATATATCGCCCGAACAGTATTTATATCTTTGTTGGTTTAGCAGTGACCTACTCCCTATTGTTAATACTGAATAAACGCAGAGTTATCAGTCAACATAAACCCATAAATTAAATGAGAACACTAAAAATGACTTTGTTGCCTTTTATGTCAATCACAATAATAAATGATAATTAGAACCGATGAAGTTGCATTGTCTTCGTTTCCTTTTCAGAAATTGAACTCTCCAACACTGTCTGTAAATAGTGAAGGCTTTATACCAATGTTGTCCAAACTTGATGACTGCATTGAATATGTTTCCTCCCATGTAAGTAGTCATTTTTCTTTGTAATTGTCTAAATATTTTCTGAAATAATTTTTTATCCCATTTGCTTTTCACAGCCTAATTTTAAGGATTACCCAATTTATATGGCTAAGTTTAAACAATGTCTTTCGAAAGCTATGCATTTTATGAAGATCCATATTGTAAACACTATGCAGAATCTTACGAGTCAGCTAACAAAAAGGGTAATTAACATTGTTACAATAAATATTGTATATATAATTATATATTTGTTGATTTGCCATTTAACTTGCCTTTTCTGTCATAAAGGATCCAATGGGGTTGGCAAATGCGGACAATGCTTTTACACTTTATTATGTTAAGTTTCGAGCAGCTGCACCCAAAGTTAGAGTGAGTTCATTCCTCGACCTTATGGCCCCATAATCTGTGTGTATAATTAGTTCAATTAACTGTGTATTTTTCTCTTCAGACATTAATTGAACAGATTGAAAAGCGGGCAGAAAGGATTCCAGAGTAAGTCCAGCAGTATTTATACATTTTCATCATTGTGCATAGTTTTTTAAAAAGTTCTTATTTTTCTGTGAGCAGATATCAGAACCTGCTTGATGAGATTCACCAGTGTTACCTCGACCAGAGAGATCAGCTGCTAAGCCCCAGTATTACATCCACCATTACAGACCTGACCAACCAAAACACCAAAGATCACTGCGCTCTGGTAAGAGACCGACCGTCTAAGCTGCCCTTTGCACACTGTCATGTGGCATTTCAGAAGACTTACACTGGCTGGACCCATCTTTTTTTCTTTTCTGTGTTTTTGGCAAGAGTGTTCCAGCTTCTGCACATGATTGATGATTATTATAGTCACCCCAATGTTACTGTCCATTATTGTAGCTCTCAGCGGTGACTTTAATCAACACACATTTTAAGCAGCTTTACGCAGAGAAAAAATCTGAAATATTTATAATGACAATATTCTGCTGGTAATTGAAATATGTATGTGAAAATTGTGCTGGTTTGAAATAATCAAATCTAAACATATTTTGGCTGAAACAATTTTTTTTTTTAAAGAAGGCAATTTCACTTGAGAAATTGACACAGAATTTGACCATATTTATGGCCAAAACGTCCACAAATATATCAAAGCACAACATGTTTAAGACGGGAGCTTTGAGACAGAAGGGGTGGAGTTACATGCTTGTGCCAGAAATTCTTGCTAATCGTGTGGATGTAATTAAAAACTACTCAACGTCTGTTTTTGTCGAGGGAGCACTGTTTTAGTATGATCAAAGGCTCAAAATGTTGATACAACATGTCTCCCAGAATCAACCACAGCGTGTGTTGGCTTCTTCATGTGTTATTTGTGTAACAGCAGTTCCTAAACTTTATACTTAGTCCAAAATACATGCTAAATACATTACCCTTCCCCTAATTTTGTTTCTGAAACGCTCTATTTATTTAGTATACTTTTAACGGATTAACTACACTGATTTTTGCCCTTTATGTTAATACACAAAATGCTGTTAATTAGTAAAAACATATACAAAGATGTTTTTTTGTCTTATATAGTATTCATATTTTACTTTTTGACACATCACAGAGGGTAATATTTAGGCTTGGCACCTTACCAGACGGCCTATTTGACACTGTTTTGGCATTTAAAGCATTGCACTAATTGGCTTGATGGGGATGTGATAATTAAAGGTCAAAATTTCACACACTGAATGGCGTCCTCACTGGCACACCACCTGTCCAAGCTTTTTGAATAAAACTTGAAAGGTTATGCATCTTGTTAATGATTGTCCTAATTGGTGTCTGCATCATTTATAGCCAAAGTGTACTTGTGTGTTTTGAAGTGCTGCCAAGCCCCGTCTACAGTTCTTCTCGTGTTTGTACAGGTCCGGAGCGGATGTGCGTTCATGGTGCATGTGTGTCAAGATGAACACCAACTGTTCTACGAGTTTTTCTCCAAACCTACATCCAAACTGGAGTAAGTGACGCCCAGCTTTATCCTTGGGATTATTCCTCCTCCATTAATGGCATCTGAATGTACATTTTTGTATTCGCAATAGGTGAATTGCAAGTGCTGCAAACAAAAAGGGACTAAAGATACACAAAAAACTCAGTTGAATTCAGGAAAATGTCACTTGTTTTGAGTATATTTTGATTTGTGGATGGAATTAAGCATTATTTTCTCATTCCAAGACATCTTTTACAGTGGACCAACAATTATTTAGTCAGCCACCAGATGTGCAAGTCCTCCCACTTAAAAAGTTGAGATGCCTGTAGTTTTCATCATGGGTTTGCCTCAACTAAGAGAGACAAAATAAGAAAGAAAATTCCATAGAATCTCATTTGACTTTATTTGCAAATTATGATGGAATATGGACTCAGCACTGTTTTTCCTCTAAGCAGGACCTGTTGAGTTACTAAACTATAAGCCCATTATTGCGATATTTTTACCTAACTTTGAAAAAAAAAAAACAGGCAAATGCTAATGGTCCTGTCTCACTCGAGAGCATGGCGCCGTGGCAAGAGCTCTGGTGTGTGTCGTCTGGTGCACACCGGGGTAGTCTTGCACAGTTTTTCCAATGTGGTTTTACTGCAAATGGCAAATAAATGAATCTGAATCTGAATCTGAGCAGGACAAGTCAGACTCTACATTGAAGATGTTGGTCCAAAATAAATGGGCCAACATTAATGTATATATTGAAAACAATTTTTTAAATTGTTTTTATTCTTAAATTTTTCGATCAATTTGAGAATCGCAGGATTAGATGAAGGAGTGTGACAATATATTGATTTTTTGATATATCGCATTACTTTCTCCCGCGATCGATTATCGATATGCATTTGCCAAGTATCGATAAAAATAAAAATAAATTGTATCAATACTTAATATATGGCTACATTACACATCTCCATTCCAGTTATCATGAAATATAGTGTATTTTTTCACTTAACATTTTTCTATTTTATGTATGCCATATTTTGGCATATGGTATATTGCTGACCAATATATCGATAATTGTGATATAATCGTTATCGTGATATAATCGTTATCGTGAGCTTTGTATTGCGTATTGTATCGTATCGTGAGGTACCCTTAGGTTCCCACCCCTAATTAGATGTGACATCTCGCTTAAGATATATTTTCTAACATCTTAATAAATGTTTTCTGAAATGTAGGGGAATTGTGTATTGGAATCAGAATCAGAATGATTTTTGTTTCCATTGCAGGAAGTCACAAACTAGGAATTTGCTTTGGCAAATGGTATTCTGCATTTGCTTCATACGTATGCTTTTTCTAATGGAACTGTCTGGAAGTTGTTATTTTTACTTTTTTAAACATACAGGATATACAAATTTGCAATTGCAATAAAACCCATCCAGATTTTGTGCTAAAATTGTGCCTCCCAAGCCGCCACTACCATTATGTTTACTTAAGGCGTTTATTGTCCTTGTGTGAGCACCATTGTCTGCTGTAAACAATGAGCAAACCAACAGCCCTTTACTTGTATATTTTGTCAGCGATTCACTTTCCTTTGCTGATTAGAAAGCATTGACAAAAAAACAAGATGTTCGGATAAGTGGAAAAATGCCTACGTCTTCTGTTTTCCCACAGCGAATTGTTGGAGAAGTTGTGTCTGTCTTTATACGACGTCCTCCGGCCACTGATTATCCACATCATCCACTTGGAAACGCTGTCGGAGCTCTGCAGCATCCTCAAGAACGAGATGCTGGAAGATCATGTTCAGAACAATGGTTTGCTCAAATGTTTTATTATTTCTACTGTTTATTTTTTTTGTAGTTAATCCTTTAGGCATCAGTTATAAAACCATTTCCTCGCTCTCAAAACATTTGGTTCTATCACTAGTTTTCACATGTTTGGCCTGTATTGATAGATGGATTTAGATTTTGAGATGTGGTGAAACAGATTTCCCCACTGTGGGACAAAACTTATCTTATCTTAGCTTCCATCTGTCATATAGTGACTAACAGGGCTCCTTCTCACAAGTACGCAAAATGTAATTTGTTTTGTAATAAGATGAAGACATAATTCTTTCTGTTCGCCACAAATTACATTCATTTTGATGAGGAAAATAAAAATAAAAGCAAAAGTCACTGATTGAAGGCCCCAGCCCAGGTCTTCTAGCTACCTCACATCAATCCCAAGTAAAATACAGTGAAGTAGGTTTGCCATTTGAGCTAGTACTGACAAAGTGAAAGTATGTGTGTTTGGAACATCTCTTAGCAGCATAAAGTCTGACACTTTCTGTTCACCACCAGGTCAGTTCATTCCGTCACCGGCGGAGACTTTTTTTTCCTTTTTTTTTTCTTACAGCCGCACCGTCTCCCAAATCAATTTTTCGGTCTTTTTAGTTTTCAGACCCCACAGGCCTTGTATCAAATAGATGTATTTAGAGCCAACAATTGTGAGTCTTGTCCACGTTTCACCTGTAAACTGACCTCTGCCTCTCCTTGCACAGCGGCGCAGTTGGGAGCCTTTGATGCTGTTGTGAAGCAGATGCTGGAGGATGTTCAGGAAAGGCTGGTGTATAGAACGCATATTTACATCCAGACGGACATCACCGGATACAACCCAGCCCCAGGGGATCTGGCCTATCCGGAGAAACTAGAAATGATGGAGGTATGACCAGAAACTGTGATTATCCAATTGAATGAAAGGAGGAATCGTAATTACCTCCAGACAGGGCCCTTTCTGTTTGGAGTTTGCATGTTCTCCCCATGTCTGTGAAAGAGTGAATGGATGCTGGTGGTTGAAGGCTTCAGTGCACTATATATACTACTTACTAAATTGATATTTTTGCATTATTACACACTACAATAAAATGTTAATGGAAGCAAGAAGGTCCTGGGTTTGTGTCCTTGGTCAGATGAGGCCTTTCTGTGTGGATTTTGCGTGTTTTCCCTGTGTCTCGCATGTTCACCAGGTGCTCTGGTTCCCCCACTCGTAAGGACTAGTTTGTGATGTTTGGAAGGTCAGGTGTGCCAGGCAGCTGCGTGGCCGGAGCCCTTCTGTCATCAGCAGCTGGAGTGATTGGCATTGAGTGCATGAAAAATGTATAGTGCTTTGTTTTGACTCGTGATATATCAATGAATATTACTTAAAAATATACATAATTTTCATGTATAGATCCATGAAAAAAATAGTCACTAAAATATCCTTTAATTTTTTTGTGTTCCAAAAATGGATAAGAAATGTAAAAGTTTTGGCATAGCAGAGGGACATTCTTATTATAAAGTGTTGAAAGCAATGTTGACACTGCCCACTGATCTTGGAAGCTAATCTGCTGTGGGTCTGTAAGTTTCATGCTGTTCATATAGTGTTGTTGTGTCCATAGGCAAGACACTTCTTCAGCTCAGGGTATACCTTATTGTGCCCTTCTTGTGTCTACTTCACGTTGGTTGGTTTGAATAAACATTTAAAAAAAATGTTGGGTTCACTCACATGTGTTTGTATTGTGGTCATGCCTGCATGTGAAAGCCAGATCCCGTTAGACCTCTGAAGCTAAGCAGTGCAGGGCCTGATTAGGACTGTGATGGGAGACCTCTGGGAACACCAGGTGCCACAGTGGGGCAACCGCAATTGTAAAGTGGCAAACTGATGTTGTGTCCTCTGGCAAGACACTTTAACCACATTGCCTAGAATGAGTCTGGTGTGTGTGTGTGTGTGAATGGTTGGTGGTGGTCGGAGGGGCTGATGGCACATACTGGTTGCCTCGCTCCTGTCAGTGTGCCCCAGGGCAACTGTAGCTACAGTAGTTTATCACCACTGTGTTTGGAGTAAATGTATAATGACATGTGAAGCATCTTTGAGTGTCCAAAAAAGTGCTATAAAAAAGCCTTGTATAATTATTATAATATTATTTATCACCCGTACAATAATATGATTATCTGGAAAAGCCTGCTTGTTACAGTCTCTGAGAAATGCATTTCTTGTGTTACTAATGGAAGGTACGGTCTGCTTGCTGCAGTTGATCGCATTTCTTCTCTTTCTTTCCCCGGTCTTTGTACTGTGGGTGAAAGTTAGATACCTAATAGAACACAAAGTTTTAGTGCTGCTTGTAAATGTCAGAAACGCACAAACTTAAATTACATTCCTTTAAAGTTTCAATATCTGCAAGTGCCAAGGTTTTACCCCTTTTGAAACGCTTGTATTGTTTCATGTTGACTGCTTTGATTATCCGAATGTGCAAGGTCTCAAAAATGCCTGCACTCTTACAAGAAACGGTGCCTTTGAGACTGCTGTATCTAAATGAGTTTTTTAACATCAATCCCTTTTGATGTACTCTTGTCTCTGTGTTTTGTCTTCACAGAGAATTGCTCAGAGCTTAAAGGAGGAACAGATGAAGCACATGTCACAGGAAGCGTCCTTTTCTGACGTGCAGCTGGAGGAAGGGGGCAGCAGAAGGAGCAGTAGTGCTGGTCAGTGTCTCCTCAATTGAACCCAGCTGTAATTGGCTTAATAACACCTTTGCTTTTGTGCAGGGAGTGTGGAAGCATCTCGCCCACAGACATCCATTTCTCCTGCTGATCTGCACGGCATGTGGTACCCCACTGTCAGAAGAACACTAGTTTGTCTGTCCAAGCTCTACAGGTGTATGGATGTGAGTCTGACCACACAGTGATGCTAACAAGGGCATTTGTGTTTACATTTATGTTCATTATTTCATTGTTTTTCTATCATCTCCAGTGAACTATTCAGAATCATATGCATTTGTTACAGTATCATACAGTTTGTCTACAGTTCTAGTTGGTGGATGGTTTCTATAGTAAGACACTTAGAGGTGTAATACAGGATACTGGGCATGAGTATAACAGTATACATTTTATGTACTGATGTTTTAATAGTATGTTTTCTCCTCTAATCAGAGATCACCTTTTTAATATTATATACAAACATATAAAGTGTAAACTCTAACATTCCGGGGAATATCTGCCAATTAAGATAAAAGCTACATCAGGCTCAAACTTCATCGGGCGGCACAGTGGATAGCACTCTTGCATCTCAGCAAGAAGGTCCTGGGTTCGAATCCTGGTCAGAACAGGGCCTTTCTCAGGGGAGTTTGCATGTTCTCCCCGTGTCTGCGTAGGTTTCCTCCAGGTACTCCGGTTTCCCCTACCACTAAAAATATGTACAATAGTTCTGGCATGCGCCTCCTGTACTGGCGACCCCGCTCCCATCTCTGTGTGTTTTGTAATTGTAAACCGCTTTGTGACTCTGGTCTGTGAAAGACGGTTTATAGATTACTTACTTACTTACTTAGGATATTACCTGAACTCATGACATCAAAGTTCAGGCCGATGCCCGATCAAACAAAAAGTAATGCATCCCCAATGTGAGGTACTTTCTCACTGGGAGTACTTGGAATGGTTTCAGATTTTAAATGATTGTGCCAAACCATGGTTCACTTGGAGCAAAAAAGTCTTTATTTGTGAATGTAAAACTATCAAAAAGTGAATGTTTTTTGTTTTTGTGAACCAGCCAAGTGTGAACGCACCCTGAATGTAACATCTTTAAAATCAAACTTAGTGGCAATAATTGACAATGCTGCCTTTGGGATGTTCTTAAGAGATTCAAGAGCTTTTAGAGTTGTATTAAATTTTTTTTTTTTTTTCTCATTTTCAGCGCACTGTCTTCCAAGGTTTATCTCAAGAAGCCTTATCCGCCTGCATCCAATCTCTGCTCAAAGCTTCAGAAATCATCCTCAAAAACAAGGTGCACACTATATTTATCTATATGGCTGCATTTATTTTCAGAAATGATAGGAATCTTATTTTTGATTGAAAATACTATCGCTTTCATCCGTTTCTCTTTCTGCCGGTACAAAAACTTTAACCAATGCTGATGGAATGTCATTTGAACTGTAATTTGATAGACATTTCATACGCTTTAGAGAGCACTCAACAGACCAGGCTTTATTGATTTATTTTTTTACCTTCAAAATGGCAGTCAATATCCGTGGCAATTGGCCCACCTCATTCTAACACTTCAAATTAACGTTGTAAAATAAATCTCTGTGGATATGTCCCTGCCTCCCCCCGCTGATGTCTTTCTCCATTGTTTTAGCCGAGCAATAAATAGTTTAAGCTGCCGCCTCTTTTTGTCACACTAACACCTCCCTCAGCCGCAATGATAAAACAGCGGTTATTAATTAGTGATATTCCCTTATCGTCTCTAAGCCAGTGCTTTTTATGTATTCAGAAGCTTGGATTGTCAGCAGATGCCCTTTTGTTTTGGCAGCCTGCAGTGTGGATTTAACTGCTTTTTTTTCCCGTAGACACAAATAGACGGGCAACTTTTCCTGATCAAGCACCTGCTGATAATGCGTGAACAGATTGCCCCATTTCACACCGATTTTGCCATCAAGGAAATCTCACTGGACCTGAAGAAAACACGAGGTAAGATAATTAAAGGTGCAGGGGAACATTGATGTTCAGCTTCATAAAGCCGGTCATTACATTCTCATGCCCATTAAGCAACTTGTGCCCATCACATGCACCGGTGGCAACAATTAATGTGGAAATGACAGTGTAATGCAACATCATTATGTACATTAACCGATGGCTGACGGGGCAGAGCAGCTCCGCTTCCAGCACTGAGAGTCAAGGTCATGCAACAGTTGTGGCACTAGAGGGCACTCTGGTGCTGCTCCAGCCCACGTGTAACCTCTGTGTTCTTTGTTTCAGATGCTGCCTTCAAAATCCTCAACCCCAGGGCTGTTCCCAAACTCTTCCGCTTTAACAGTCACAATGCCATCCTGGAGTTCCTACTGGAGGTGGGTGTTTCTGCTCCTTTTTATGAACCACGCCATGCGTTTTATGGACTGTCATTGCTCCCTTTATGGGCAAACGTCATTTAGTTGTGCAAAATCCTGTGCTCTGTGGCCTCCAGGGAACACCGGAGATAAAGGAGCACTACATCGACTCAAAGAAGGATGTGGACCGGCACTTGAAGTTCAGCTGTGAGCAGTTCATCCAGCAGCAGACTCAGATCTTTGTGGGGAGCCTCGAGGAGTTTCTCACCAAGGTAACGCTGCACCAAGGAAAAAAAATGGCACAGCAGAAATCTGTCTGACCTTTTTTTATGCCCATCACTTTTGAAATATCTGTGGAATCATAGCTTGAAATGCTCTTTTTATTAAATAGCCCTCATATGTCAAAAGGCATTAATAAACCATGCTCTTTTTGAATACTTCTTTAGCTGATAACAGTAGTTCAGCCGAGATATTTGAATTTCAAAATTAATTTTACAAAATCTTGTTATTGTTTTAATTTTAATATCCCGCCCTCCACCGTTTTACCAATCAGAAAGTCCGTGATCCAAGCGCCAGAACTCACCACGAGGAGCTAATCTCACTGGTAAAGTAACATGTGGCCGCAGAACTAAAAAAGGTCCCATTATATATAATTATTAAAACGAGGATTTTTATCGGGCCTTTCTGAAAAAGGTGTTGGTTTTAGATTTGTTGTTGACAAAACTCTTCTATATTCAGGTATTATGGTCCCAGCTGGATTTGTCTGCAAATTTGGCAACCTGAGTCAGGGAGAGTGGGAGAGTTTGCAGTACCACTTGTGGCCATATTTTTACATATCGCCCCTTTAACATGTTTGCACATTCTTTTTGCCCACCCTGAGTGATTCTATGCATGCCAAATGAAGATTTCTCTATTGTGACATCAATAAAGTTTATCTAATCATGTATTTTTAATGGTTTGTGCGCATGTCTGAAGATGAACTGTGTATAAATAAATATATGTTTGTGTGTTTGACTTCTTCCAGGTTGCTGCTCTTAAAACAACAGCGATACAAGGTGGTCCCACGTATAACCTGGCTCAGCAACCTTGGGCCCAGCCAGGTAAGATTTGTCTCAGGAAATGCCATCGGCTTCCTGCTACAATTCATCAAAACTTCTATAGCACATGCTAGAGGGCATGTCAATGTGTATTTTTTTCCTCAGCAGTGTTTTTTCTCTTTTCAGCAAAGATCAACGATGTAGTGATGGCTACCTACCGGGTGATGAAGAGCAAGCTGCCAAGCACTTTGCAGAGCATGTCCTTGTACTTGGCCAATAGAGACACCGAATTCATTCTTTTCAAGCCTGTCAGGGTATGTGCACACACAAAAAGGCAATGCACCAATCTGCAAGTGATTGTTTGAAAAAGTAAAATCATTTTGTACAAGCTGCAGCGTTCAATCAAACAGAGAAGGTCAAAGCAAATGTAATAGCACTTGCATTATTTAAATTCAGACTATGATGAATTTTGCATGGCAGGAGTAATGATTTAAGTTGCATACGGTATTAGGTCAAATCCATTCTATCCATTCCAAGGCAAAACTCCTGACAAAAATAACACCCTTTGCATAATAAGTCTGTGTAGGACCCTGTTGGAATCGTGAAATTATTTTTTTTCCCTCCCTGACCCTTTTTTCTTGTGAGCCGGTCCCGCTGCTTGTGCCTTTAGCCACAAACTATTAGCATAATTGAACTCTAATAGATGGATATTTGTGCCGCCTGTGTAACGTTCATCAAGGTGCCAGGTGAACCTGAAATGAGGGGGAGAAACCAAATTCAGCGGTTGACATGGAAACAGGACAGCGAGGGGACGGAGGCCAGATGGAAATGCGGTGTTAATTTCTCTCCAGCGCTGTAATATGATTGCTTCTTTCCCGCAGAATAACATCCAGCAGGTATTTCAGAGGCTGCACACCTTGCTTCAGGAGGAATACAGAGGAGAAGACCTTCAAATCATCGCGTGTCCATCGATGGAGCAGGTACATCCCCAAAAGGCACCCAACACGGTTTAATAAGATCCCTGCCACAGCCTTGCCTCGCGCTAACAGCAACTCGAGTAGACATTGCTGCCAGATAACGCACAGCAGCTTAAGCCACGGCATCCAGGACTCAATTTCTCCTCTCCCCGACTCTCTTTCAGATTAACCTTCTGCTGTCTGCGAATAAGTAATATCCAAGTTTGGTGGAGAAATGCAACGGTGCCACTGTGATGTCGCAAACGCCGGCTTTGACCAGGAGCCATGTCTGAGCTGACCAGAGAACTGAGGGGAAAGGTGGAAAGAAGGAGGCAGACACTGGCTTCTCTCCAGGGATTATGAGCGTCTCGTGGATGGGTATTATTTGGGTAATACTGAAATACTGAAATTCAAGCGATGTTCAGGACTAGAGTGTAGTCGGGTGGTGGGATAATGCGTTGTTCTCAAAGCTAGCTGGACACTGTTAAGGCCTTTTACATGAACTAGGTGAAGGAAGTTGTACTCTTTAAGATTTCCTCGATGAAATTGGGAAACAGGAAGGAAAACTATGTTGCAAACTGTTTTATCCATTTATTTTAAAATGCAACAGTCTAGTAATATTAACAAGAACTCTATTAGGAGTTCTACTCCTGGCTCTCAGGTCCCTCTAGTGCCCCCTGTGGTTAAGGCCTCACAATGTTTGAGTTTCTAAAATCTACTTATCTACTTTTTTTTTTCATGATTTGTACAAAAAATAATTCTTTTATAAATGTGTTTTATTTTCATTAAAATACGTATTTGTTGGCATAAGCAGCTTTGCACTGTGCACATGTTTCCTCAATAACAAAGGAAGCAGGACTTTTGTCAGTAGCATTAGTTTTACATTCTATTCTATGTGAAATGATTTGTACAGCTCCACTATTTATGAACTTTCTGATTAAAAGAAGATTAATGATGCTCAGTGGCTTTCTGTCTACCAGCCATGCCAGTACATTTACATTGACAGAATACTAAAGAGCCATTTCACACAAATGAGGAGGCTCCATTCAAGGACACTATCGGCTTTAGGGGGTCTTCTTGGCAGACAGAGCGGTCTCATTGGCAGCCTCTGTCTTTCCATCTGTGAGATGAAGCTTTGCTGAGGCTTGACCTTCCCTGGATTGACAGTCTTTTGATAGGTGATGAGGGGCTGCATGTTCTGGAGCAGGGCATTGATCTCTGCACTCTTCTCCTGCAAATACCTGTGAAGCATGTCAGGCCCTGGCAGCACGAGACCTTTGCTTCCATTCAACTGTGACAGCATTGCAGCAAGGAAATAAAAATTAAAACCACATTCAATTATTTGGCCAAAAAACTCTGTCAATTTCTTGCATCATGTTACAAATGAATATTCAGTACGAGCTTGAGTCAGATACTTTACATTTGACTTCATAATAAGGTGAATAAGGAGTGGTGTGACGTGAAAGTGGGGTAAATGCTCCCCTGGGATTGGAGGTTGGCTTTGGGGTTTAATGTCAGGCAGTGGGGTTACCTGCTTATCCAGCCCGCACATTTCCCAGAGGCGCTGCAGTATAGAGGTTCCTGTTTAAGATGCGGGATTCAGCCTAATTATGGCGAGACGCTCATGAACAATAAGCATTAGAGAGGAGCGCTATTGCCTCATCCACAGAGGTCATCATATCTGTCTGCTCTCCTGCAGAAAAGTAGGCCGTCTATAAGGGCAACTTGTTTTGAATAAGCTGAATATTTTCTGCTAAAGAAAACTAATGCATTCCCCGAAATGTGAAGGTCAAAATGAGCAAGCTTGTTTTGGTTGACCATCAGTGCAAGTGGGAACAGCTTACAAAGCAGCTAACGGCAGATAAGTGTTTAAACAAAGATTACATGATTGTCATATAAGTAAGACTGTATTAATCCACCTCTAAATCATTCTTAACATTAAGCAATACACATAAGCACTACTTCTTTAGGTGTACAATAGCAGTGGTTCCCTAAGTGGGGGTCGGAGGACACTTCCAGAATGATTTCTTAAACCAAATTATATCTATAGCTTTGTTGATACAAACATGTTTTAAGTGAGTTCAAATGGTACACAAAATTACTTGAACGTTTAAATATCTTAAATATTCCAATGAATTTAGCACATGTTAGCGCAAATCAAAACATTATTAATCTCTCAGTGTTGGTCACGGGTGTTTCTTGCCTATTTTAACGCGTCTGAACAGAACCCCTGCACTAAACCTATGTCTGTTCATCTTTATGTATGGCACCTTACAGACCATCACCTGCCACAAAAGCTCTCAAAAGTTCAGCCCTTTTCGCTCTCAAGTATAGCCGAAAATGTGAAGGAGCTTCAGTGGTATTGAATTTAATTTAAAAACCATTTAGCGTTTTAAACCAGTATTGGACAAGAGTGATCCTGACCTTTGGTCTTTCTGCTTTACTGCTTTTCTATCTGTCATGGATTCTTCTGCGCTCTGACCTTCACCAACTTTCTGGATAACTCCACGCCTTTTTAACAGATGCAATTTCAACATAAAAAAGAATGAAATGATTGTAGCAAAGTTGCATTTATTTACTTGATGTGAACATACTGCAATTACAAAAAACAAACCAGGTGCACTGCATTTTGTGAAAATGCAAATTTTCCATAGGAGGCTTGTAGGACAAACATGTTCCCTTATGTTCATTTACTATTTCACTTTGAATCATCACTTTTAATGCAATATGCTATGTCTGTTTGCACGGAATCACAGTTATTCATTAAACCTGATCAACCATTAAAATAAAAGACGGATGTAAAATCAGCCATTAACATTCAGCCTTTGATATTGGCCATTTATAATTCTGTGAAAATATGCTGGAAGACTTCTATCATTACCTACATGACAAAGATTCACCGTCAAATCTGAATCAGAATCAACACCTATTCAATAATGATCAGACTATTAAATATATATTAATAAAAACACTCCAACCAGTATCCATAATTAATCACTGGCCTGTGCTACATGGGAATAGCCCAGAGTCTGTGTCCTTGTACATACATACATACAGTGCCTTGCGAAAGTATTCGGCCCCCTTGAACCTTTCAACATTTTGCCACATTTCAGTCTTCAAACATAAAGATATAAATTTTTAATTTTTTGTCATGAATCAACAACCAGTGGGACACAATCGTGAAGTGGAACAAAATTTATTGGATAATTTAAACTTTTTTAACAAATAAAAAACTGAAAAGTGGGGCGTGCAATATTATTTGGCCCCTTTACTTTCAGTGCAGCAAACTCACTCCAGAAGTTCAGTGAGGATCTTTGAATGATCCAATGTTGTCCTAAATGACTGATGATGATAAATAGAATGCACCTGTGTGTAATCAAGTCTCCGTATAAATGCACCTGCTCTTTGATAGTCTCAGGGTTCTGTTTAAAGCGCAGAGAGAACCATGAAGACAAAGGAACACACCAGGCAGGTCCGAGATACTGTTGTGGAGAAGTTTAAAGCTGGATTTGGATAAAAAAAGATTTCCCAACCTTTAAACACCTCAAGGAGCACTGTGCAAGCAATTATATTGAAATGGAAGGAGTATCAGACCACTGCAAATCTACCAAGACCCGGCCGTCCCTTCAAACTTTCATCTCAAACAAGGAAAAGACTGATCAGAGATGCAGCCAAGAGGCCCATGATCACTCTGGATGAACTGCAGGATAACTACAGCTGAGGTGGGAGAGTCTGTCCATAGGACAACAATCAGTCGTGCACTGCACAAATCTGGCCTCTATGGAAGAGTGGCAAGAAGAAAGCCATTTCTCAAAGATATCCAATAAAAGTCTCTTAAAGTTTGCTACAAGCCACCTGGGAGACACACCAAACATGTGGAAGAAGGTGCTCTGGTCAGATGAAACCAAAATCAAACTTTTTGGCCACAATGCAAAACGATTTGTTTGGCGTATAAGCAACACAGCTCATCACCCTGAACACACCATCCCCACCTCAGCTGTAGTTATCTGCAGTTCATCCAGAGTGATAATGGGCCTCTTGACTGCATCTCTGATCAGTCTTCTCCTTGTTTGAGATGAACGTTTGGAGGGACGGCCGGGTCATGGTAGATTTGCAGTGGTCTGATACTCCTTCCATTTCAATATAATTGCCTGCACAGTGCTCCTTGAGATGTTTAAAGCTTGGGAAATCTTTTTGTATCCAAATCCGGCTTTAAACTTCTCCACAACAGTATCTGGGACCTGCCTGGTGTGTTCCTTTGTCTTCATGGTTCTCTCTGCGCTTTAAACAGAACCCTGAGACTATCAAAGAGCAGGTGCATTTATACGGAGACTTGATTACACACAGGTGCATTCTATTTATCATCATCAGTCATTTAGGACAACATTGGATCATTCAAAGATCCTCACTGAACTTCTGGAGTGAGTTTGCTGCACTGAAAGTAAAGGGGCCGAATAATATTGCACGCCCCACTTTTCAGTTTTTTATTTGTTAAAAAAGTTTAAATTATCCAATAAATTTCGTTCCACTTCACGATTGTGTCCCACTTGTTGTTGATTCATGACAAAAAATTCAAATTTTATATCTTTATGTTTGAAGCCTGAAATATGGCAAAATGTTGAAAGGTTCAAGGGGGCCGAATACTTTCGCAAGGCACTGTACATACATACACGTATCAGTAGTAAGTGTCATGATTATTTCAGTGAGCCCATGTTCCATACTACATGTCTTCTTTAGCCGTGTGTTTCATGTGATCATATTAAGTGTAAAGTCAACTTGCTGGCTCTTCCAGCTCTTCTAGGTCAAATCTGCCAGTTTGATCAATGGTCACTTGGGGTTTGGAAGCCTGCTGGCAGATCCTATACTAATCTTCCACACCGTCTCCTTCTGAAGTGCTCTTGAGCGTGTGTCATCTGAAAACATTATTGATGAGAATGTGCCTTTTTAAAAGACATACTGTACTCTGCGTTTGCTGTTGTGTACAAATAGCCATCACATTTTGCAGTTAATGAGGTATTTAAAAAACATCTGGTATGCTGGTACACCAGGCGCAATCAGTGACAGTGCGAGATGTGAATCTCAGACTAATTGCATGTTCACTTTGAAGAATCCTCTATTTATAGTTTTAGCAGCGACAAAAGGAGGTATTTCAAGCATTCTGTTTTTTAACCAAGGCTTGTCCATACTAGTTGGAGTGGAGCCTCTAAAGCCCAGT